CAACACTGGAAAAAATCATAATGTTAAAATAATGAAATATCAGAGGTTGGTACTTATCTCTCCAAAAACTGTGTCAAAATGATTTCACTTTATCATATAAGTAACAGATGAAGGCAAGAGATGTATGTACGCATTGCTAATAATTGTTTCTTTCCTGTTATCTGTTATTTATTTTGTACCAGGGAGGCTGGGGAAGAGTCAGGAGAGGTCATGTGTGGATCTTGGGATGCTGGGGGAAGTCTTGGGAAGACCAGCAGAGGCCATGAGGAGTCTGAGGAGATCTCATGAAGCCAACATAGGTGTGATGAGGTACTGTGGGCAGGAGAAAAAGTGACAGGAGATACTTATTGAAGCAACTTGTGACCTTTCCTGACCAGCTTCCTTGTTGACTTTGTTTGGGAAGCTACCCCAAGGTCACAAATGCCGATCATGTGACTGAGGCCCACTGCAACATCATATCTGCAAGCTGGGTGGGCACCCAAGTGCTTGACTTACAATCATGTCAGCATGGGAGTCTTGTAACATCTGGTACTTTGGGGCCAGCTGTATGTCCATTTTTTTCAATGCAACTGCAATTTTGAATGAATGGACATAAGCCAAGGACTACCTGTACTTTAATCCACACCTCGCATAATGAAGTCATAATTGATTGTAAAATTGTTTGCACAATGACTTGCTTAAATGGCATAAAAGTACTAAATACGACATTTGCACAAGAACAAAATAAGATACAGAAAGGTTTTGAATTGCAGAATTGTGCCATTGAATTTTAAAACAATGTTAGAAAATCCAGAGGGTTTTTTTTCCTTGTTTCTTATTAGATTCTCTTGGCCTTTAGCTTCTCATCTTTCAATAAGTAAATACAAGTAGTTCCAGCCAATGTGATTCTAATCAGTAAACAGGAGAAGTAAGAGCCAGTATATTATGCAGCAAGAAAAAATACTCAAAAGAACAAGAAAGTAAGATCTTCCATTAGCAAAAAAAGCTATGGAGTTTAATCCATTTATATATTTCTGTTATTTAAATAAACTGTTATTGTTATTTAAATGTGAGATGATCTTATAAAGAACATGCACCTATTAATCAAAAAGATTTGTGCAACTATCCTTCCTCTTTCTTGGAAGTGAAAGAAAAAACACAATATAATTATACATGGTAATTTTTCACTTTTCTCACCGTCCTATCCAATTCTTTCCCTGAAGCAGGATGATTGTGCAATAACAGACTCGTTTTTTGAAAACTAATTTTACAGCAAATGATAAGCTCAACCATTTAATAAAACCATTTGTTTTCTTCACTACTACTAAATATATACAACTGAATCAGCCATACTGAATGTACAGTTTGCAATAATGTACATTTTGTTTCTTGGGACATCTTGTGATATTTAATTTTATCATTAATTCCATTTATATTATCTCAGAACTGTAAGTTATCATGTAAGACTTTGTAAAGCACTGGAAATCAGTTGATTACGGTAATATACAAAAATAAACAGCCACAACAATACTTCAAAAATAATCCATGTTTTAAAAATGTACTGATATAAAATAACTATTTAAGATCATTTTTTTACATTCAAAAATAAAGAGAGTATTTATGAAAATGTCAATAGACATCTTCAAATATATTCTTCTCACCTCCTACATGTGCTAGACCAGCGGGACATCAACCTTTTGGACCTCAGGGACCACCAAACTCAATTTTAAATTCCGAGGACCACTAATATGATTTTTTTTAAAAAGATAAATACATTTGTAAAATAATGATCAGAGAACTTCCATGTTATTAATATGAAATGCACCTATTTAATATAACAAAATGCTTAAATATATTAATAAATGCTTAAATATTAATTTAATATTAAAAATCATGACTCACAGACGGACACAATACAGAAGCCTGATGATGGCAGATGAGATTCTGCTGAAACGTTGCTACAACTTTAAAAGCACAACTATAATGACGTGGGAAAATACCCGAACAAAGCTGAAGGCCATACATGTAAGTACCCGCGAAAACTTAAGAATATATATATATATATATAGTCTTAAAGTATCCAAGGTACAAATTAAAAACTAAAACAAAGCAATATATAAAAGCTATTTGAAGACATCAATGAAAAGAAATTGATGGCAAGATCTAAGCTAAACACTTTGCAAAATAACTCAGTTTTGTTAATATTGTTTTACAAGGTATGAAGTGCTAGCACATGGACTATGTCAGAATGGTGTTGCTAGTACAGGGTATCAGCCCGGTCTTCATTAAGCCTCTCTGACTGCAATGTTTGAATGCCTCCGATTTCCAGCCATATTGATGCACAGCCTGGAAACTGAATTCAAAAGATCACTGTCCCACTCCTGAGGACACGTGGATTCCCCAGCCACGTTTGAAACAACAGAAGTGGGAGGGAGGCAACGAGAGCACCCTTTACCTTTAGAGGTGGAGTTTTAGCTCCGAACTCCTCACGAAGAGAAGGTGGGCTAACTTTCGAGGGAGTGAAGCGCTAAGGTTTTCATTATAAGCCTCCCCCTCCTCCACTCCCCTCATTTGAATGCTGCCCCAAGCTGGCTAGGAACCAATTTGGAGGTGAGCCCCACCCTCCTCTAGTCCTATCCCAGTATTTGAAAACCAAAGAATGTCACTCCTCTAACTTGGAGAACAAATGCTACTCGTATTTGCATGGCATCAGCATTCGGCCTCCGCTGTGGTATATTTGCAGCAGCTTGCACCTTCCAGCCACCGCCACTTCAGCCCACTTGCACCGCACCCCCCTCCCCCACAACAGCACCATTACCTCATTCCGGCTGGCGAGGGATGCGCACGTGCCACCCCCTATGGCAGAGATTTCCAGCTCTACCATGGGGCAGTCCCATATTCCAGAGCTGCAGTAGCCACAGGACTGGCCCTTTTGTCATCCCGAAGCAGCTCCTCCATGGCAGGCCGGTGCACCCAGATGGCAGAGCTGCTCCAGGATGACCAAAGGGCCAGTCCTGTGACTACTGCAGCTCTGGAATATGGGACCAACTTTCCCACCGTTAGCAAGGGCGGATTTCCCTTACCCCCGCCGTTGGTCTTACTGAAGGTAAGGTTTGCGCTTGGCCGAAGGATGGGGGCCAGTGGATGGCCGGGCCATGTGGGTAGCGCAGCCTTGTGTTCCCACGCAGCCTGGATTAATTACTTTGGGGGGGGGATATTTCTCTGTGGACCACCAAAATTTTCTTGCAGACCACCAGTGGTCCGTGGCCCACCGGTTGGCGACCACTGTGCTAGACCACAATTCCCTCATGATATCCAGCACAATTTTTAAAGTATTTTATTTTATATAGTACTACGTTTTATTTTTACACTGTGAGCTACTTTGATCAGAAATTTGTTTGTAGGCAAGAAGTTAAAATGTTAACCAAAAACAATCCAAGAAACGTTTGTGTTTGAAAGCAAGTTTAAAGAAAGCTAATAATATATTTAATAACTGGCTATGTGCTACACTTTAGATCACCCAGAAATATAGCTCATCATATAGTCAGGAAAAAATATTTTCTTCCACGCACCTCCTATTTATTAGAAGATCTGAAAAGAGCCAATATATACTCAAAATTCTGTATCGGAGAAGGCTAACCATGGTATGCAAACCTACTGCCTCACAGAAAGGCCAAAACTAATTTGTGTAGGCAGCAGTAATTGATTTGGCTCTATTTTAGGGAACAAGGGGTTAAGAATATTGTGTGTGTGTGTGTGTGTATCCACCCCCCTCACAAGGATCAGACCATTCTTTTTCCTAATTTGCCAATTTCACTCAGCAACTTTTTAAACGAAAACAAATTTTCAAGCACCCACAAACAGAAGATGATGAACTTCACTGTGCTCTAGTAGCTCAGTTTAAATAAAACATGCTTCTCCCCATCCATGCATTTCACATTTCCATTTGTTTACTCATTTTCCTGAATTAATATAAACAAATCCCATTTTCCTTTTTATCAAATGTTTTCATAAGAAAACACCAGCATATCATTGAAAAAGAAAATTTGTGGATCTTTTGAGTATGATCAACACTCTCTTAAACTTACCGTACATTTGTTTGGCTTCTCCCCCGAATGCACTCTCATATGAATAAGCAATTTGTAACGGGCGTTAAATGGTTTGTATCTTCGAGGGCACCCAGCCCAGAAACAAGTGAAATCTTCCCCTTTCCTCTGGTCAATGTGAATTTTTTCTATATGTCGCACCAGTTCTTCTTGCTGATCGTAGGTAGCACTGCAGTCTATCCAACGGCAGCAGTGTTTGCCACTGAAATCATCGAGTTCACTGTCTTCATCTAAAAAGTAGTTCTGGATAGATGCAGGCAAGGAAAGTGGCCGGGGATGGTTGATGAGTGCATGCTGATGTGCGTGATAGGGAGGCGGTGGACCAGGGGGAGGAGGAAGCACGGGGGGAGCCAGTGAAGAAGCAGAGGGAATGCTATTTGCATTTCCAGAAAAAATATCCCCCTGTCCGCCCTTCACAAGGCCCATAGGCTGGCTGTCTACTAGACATGTACCTTGTTGAACCATCATATTATTTGTGATCAACGGCTGTAGACTGCTTTGCTCCAACTGTTGCATGCGCTGGTATTCACCGTTTCCATTTTCACTGTCGTCTGGAGGGGTAGCATTGCAATTAGCCATAAGAAGCCTTTTTTGAGGATTTGGTACAGAGCAAGTCTGGGGAATGCAGCTTCCTTTTATTCCTAAGAAATGCCCATAAACTTCAGGTTGAGGAGAGATGTTGCATGGAGATGTTCTTGAACCATTTATATATGCAACTAGGGAAGTGGGGGAAGTGCGGATGATCGTATTGAAGTCAATCCCGATGCCATCAGACAAAGGAGACAGGGACAGTGCTCTCTTTTTCGCAGAATGAGATCTGGCTGAGGAATGGTGAGGGCTAGAATAAGGGGGATGGTTGTTTTCCATACTGAGCAAGTAAGATGGCAATGAAGTAGAAAAGTTGTTGGACACAGATATCCCAGGTGTGGCATTTGTGACATCACCGAACTGACTGCTGTTTTGTGAACCCGGGTTGGAGGGAAGAGAAGGATAAATTCTATAACCATGAAACCACTCTTGTTTGACGCTCTGTATTGACTGGCTTTCTGAAAGGCTCAAGGTTGTGGATGCCAAAGATTCTCGTGATATGAGGGATCTGCAGTAAAGATCAGAAAAGAAAGAACAATGTAATCTTAGCAATTGAATTCTAGATTTTGTAATTACCGGTAGCTTTGACTTTGAATAATTCATTTCATGATCATTTGAAGTTAGAACGGCACTGAGAAAAGCAACTTATGACCATTTTTCATGCTTATGAACACTGCAGCATCCCCATAGTCATGTGATCAAAATTCAGATGCTTGGCTACTGGCTAATATTTTTGATGGTTGCAGTGTCCTGGGATTATGTGATCACCTTTTGCAACCTTCTGACAAGCAAAGTCAATGGGAAATAAAGATTCACTAAACAACCATGTCACTAATTTAACAACTGCAGTGACTCACTAAACAAATGTGGCAAGAAAGGTTGTAAAAAGGGACAAAATTCACTTAACAAATGTCTTGCTTAGCAATGGAAATTTTGGGCTCAATTTTGGTCATAAGTCGAGGACTATCTGTATATGGAACAGTTGGCATACACAGCTCACTTACTTATTTTTGATAATTAGAATTAAAAATTTAAATCTTGATCTTTGCATATTCAAATGAGCACAGTCATCACAGCTGTGGCCTACCCAATACGGTATCTCCGTAAGAATGTAACCTTTTACCACACTGGAAGTCCTGTGCATATCTCAAAAGCATCTTCTGCAAGAACATCCAACTCTCATGAAAGACCAGTAATGTAAACAGTCCTTCAAGCTTTTTACCTGCAGTTACCTGTTCTTTACTATTGCTAAAATTAATTTCCAATGTCATCATCATCATCGTCATTGTCAGCAGCAGCAGCAGCATCATACACTTTCCCCATAAAGTATGAAAAAAACTAAAATAAGATTCTGCCAAATTTGGTTACAGAATCTTTCAATACACTACATCAACCACAGATCTTTGCCATAAGAGATTAGAGATCACTGCTCCCTAAATAAATTTAATTAATAATTCAATCAGCTTACAACATTTCTTTACTAGAAGTTTAACAATTAGTATCCCCATGTACATTTGCTCAAGATTATTTAACATTTTTCTTTCATTTATATTAAAGCTTACCAACATTACTGTAGCCCATAATTCTAATATCATGGAAGTAAATTCAGAGGTATCAGTGGCATGTACAAAACTAATTATTGGTGATAAATTCAAAATGCTCTAAGGATGATAATATGATGGTCACATTGATTCTTGATTGCAATGCAGTGTTAAGTGGTATGCACCAGGAAAGATAATTCCAAACTGAATGACATAAAACACTCTTCTGATGCTGCAGATATGATAATCCTTGCTATATTATTGAAGAAAATAAAAACAGAACACAAGACCTTGTATCAGATGGTGTATCTGGATTTGACATGTTCATAGCCCTCTGTAAACTAGGGCTGATTTGGCTGCATGCTGTCGAGACCTGTTGAGTCGAAGGAGATAGAGGTCCCAGTCTCTGAACCACCATTGGATTGCTGGTGATTATCAAATTGTTGCAGCTGTTTTTTCCAATGGACTTGCACTGAGATCCGTAGACAAACGCTCCTAAAAATAAAGAAGTCAGATAAACTATTACATTATTTCTTTAAAATGACTCTGTTAATTAACCTCTAGTATGCTCCCCCCCCCCCCATCATTGCAACATTAAGAAAAAACATTTTCATTAAATGTGGTCATACCATATGTTAAATCAGGGGTCCCCAACCACTGGTCCGTGGAACAAGTCCTACCGGGCCGCTGGTTTGCTGGGCGCCGTCATCTTTTTTTTGATGAAAAAGTGCTTCCGGTGAGCTTTTCCGGGTAGAAAGCTCACCGGAAGCACTTTTTCATCAAAAAAAGATGGCGGCGCCCAGCTAATGCCGGTACCGGGCCGCGCCATAAAAAAGGTTGGGGATACCGGGCCGCGGCATAAGAAAGGTTGGGGATCACTGTGTTAAAGAGTCCCCCTCTGAAGGAGGAGGGCTATTCAAAAATTTGAAAAACAAATGAATAAAGTTGTAGTTGATTAATTACATTGGTGAGGAGATCACATTATGGAAATCATTTTAATGAAAAGAAATGTGGGGTTGCAACTTAATTTGTTTTGCACTACACTTTCCCCAGTTCACATAGTAAAGATATCAGTGCTTGATACAACAGGTACAGATCTAAGTATTTTCCTCCACAGGCCAATGGATGGTCTCTTCCAGGAACTTGACATGACTTAGTCCTGTGGCAATGCAGTGCCATAAATTCTTCCCCTTCCCTCACTGCAATTAGCCTCTTGGGGAGGGTGAGGGAATAGCTCCATTACAAGACAGTGCTTTCCGCTTTCAACCCTCACAACTGGCCTAAAAGTCCGCCCTGTCCTATGGTATTGAAGGAAACTGAGAGACATCAAACAGAACCTTGATTGTATACCTTTCCTACCCTGGTTCACTAAAGGTCTTCAACAAGAGCAACCAATGTAGCTTTGATCAAATGCACAGGCCTGAATCCCAAGTGCCAAGGGTCCAGATCATTCATTTCCTCCAGGGTTCTTGGGAACTGCAATCCTGATACCAACTCAACAGGAGTAGGTTTATAATTACCCAAGATAGTTGAGATAAGCTGCAGCTTTTTTCAGAAAGAGTCATATCACTTCTTAGGCAGAAATTTGGAAGCAAAATGGTTTACTTAAGGACGTATTTACAACAGCCCCTTTCACTAGCCAGATAGGGCAGGGTGGTGGTAGAGCAACCTGTCCATTTCCTCAGGATCCACAGGTTCAAATCAATCATGGATTATTTCACAAGACAGGCCTTCTTCATTACAGTTGAACTTGGATTTCCCCAAATGAGATCATGTATTTTTAAACAATGTTGCCGGGCATTTCAATTTTCAAAACTGCTTTTTAACTAAAGTACATCAAACAAACCATTGATAATCATTAGAATCAGAAAATCTACTTATGCTAATTTGTGAAATCTTAGTGGATCAATTTACAAGATGCAAAAAATGCAAATGGAGTACAAAAACTAACAGCTTTCAAATTCCTTTTTTCAGCCAAAAATATCTAACAGTGTGTCTTCAGGGAATATAGACTATATATTTTTGCCAGTTATTTCATAGTGGAAATCAGGCAACTATTTTTAAGTACAACTTTAACCACAAATTGCAGTTCTGAAATAACTCAGTGACACCAATTGACCTTTTTCAATACTCTGTTTATAGAGAAAAAAGCTGTCTATCCATATGTATTATTAGTAGTAACATAGTGATAAATTTACATTATGCATCCCTGTAACATGAATTTGGCTTTCATGTTGAAAATACAAGAATCCCTTTCCCCTTTTCTTTTTATTACCTGAAACCTTTAGTTACTGCAGAGAGCAAGAAAGTTGACTGTGATAGAAATAGGCCAAACCCATTACCAAGATGATAGGAGAAAAAATACCAGTTAAGTCCAGAACAAGAAGTATGGGCAAGTAACTCAGGCGGACACATCCCTAATTCACATCCTGTGCTTTCCAGAGGAAAGGAGAGTAAAGCACAGTCAAACTTGCAAGATTATATTATTACAATCAATATTAATAAAAGTAGTTTTAGCCTTCTTCTTATCGTTTGGTCTACATAATGGGGCTGAGTTATATTCCCGAAGTTTCCATACCACACTGTTCTTGAGGATATGGTAGGAAATATGGTAATCCTCTTGGTTACTGTTAACTCCTGGTGAATTCATTGTCATTTCTGTGTATTTTTTGCAACAAAATTATCGAAATAGTTTTCCACTGCCTTCTTATATTTAGACTTGTCAACTTCCCAGTCTTTCTCACTGCCTGTCATTCTTGGTTATCTTTCATTCTAATTACGGATCCAATCCTGCTTAATTTTCTGGAATCAGCCAAGGTTGGATATGTGTGGCATATAAAGCATGACCTGATAGAGACAACTATAATATTGGTGGCAATAATTGGATCTGTAATTACCGAGGACTTTAAATTGAAGATACAATTTGGACCACAACTTTTTTGCCAGGTAAAATTTGTGATGTTCCAGTAGAATGTACAGGAGTTTCTATTAACATTTTTATTTAACATATAATTTTTATTCCATATTATTAGAGATAGTTTTGGAATTCTTCATACAAATACTGCTTTTTCATATTTTTTGTTGTTGACATTATTGTTTATCATATTCATTATTGTTTATTATATTAACATTAAACTTTGATTAGGGAACTGTAATTAGCAAAGAATAAAAATATATGAAGTTAGCATTTATAACCAAATCATCGGCTAACGTGTGAAGAAAGTCAGTTTGTTGGGAAAAAATGAGATAACTGTGAAAGGCAAGACAAAGAAAAAATATCAGAAAACACGAAAAAGAGTTTTATTTATTTTTCCCACTTAACCACTTTCAAAACGTTGTAAAAATTATTAGGAGACACTATATTAATAGTCCTGCATTTTAGTACCATGTGAGAAAAACATAAAGAAGGTTTGAAGAACAAATTACTTTACCGGGCTCTTGACAAGAATACATATCTTGAACAATAATACCATCATTGCTTCCTTATTGAAAGTCTGTCTCTATGAAGAAAGCACGAAGTTAAGTTGCTGACTGGAGAGACAACAATCTGTTCAGATTGCAAGATTTTATTATCAACATCTCAAGTCTTTTTTTGCTTTTCTATATTCAATTGGTTCTGGTACAAAACATGGAAAGAAAGGGAAAAAGAGGACAACCAGCAGCAAGGTGGATGGACTCACTTACAGTGGTGATGGGTGCACCATTGGAGGCCTGAATGACCAAGTTAGGGAGAGATCCTCAGGGGGGAGAAAATCTATCTATGGACTCACTAAGAATTGACAATGGCTTGATAATCAGTCAAATAAACCAACAAACAATATTCCAATTATGATTACCAAAATGAATAAATCATTTTTCCCAAAAATGCTGGAAATGCAGTGAAGAAATTGGATCTTTCTTCTATATGTCATGGCAAAATTGTAAACTATACTAGAAATTAATTCATCATACAGTTCCAAAAGTTGTAATCTCATTTCAATCCAGGAGGTTTTTTTTTTAATTAAACATGACTAAGCCATATATTTCTTCAAAATAACCAGAACTAGCATTATATATAACAGCTGCAAGGATTTTATATCTCTTGAATCGAAAAAAATTCTGATCCTCTCTATTAAAAATGGTTAATTAAAAAGAATTATAATGTCTAAAATAACTTCCTACCTACAAATTAAATCTGATGTACAATTAAATTTTGTTTGGAAACCATTTGTGTACAATTTTATGCATGGAATTGTGTCACAACCCAAATTTGGATTCTAGACTTCATTTACTTATATTAGATTAACTAGAATTTAAACTAACATCTAATATAAACTTTATTTATAGTGATTTTGAATATATTGTTTAATCTTAATATTTTTGCATTTTTTTTCTTATTGATTTTAAATGTACTTATCAAATATTTTCATAGCTTAATAGAGAGATGCTAGATGTAAAATGTACACAGCACACGAAGCAGTAATGTTGTATGAGAACATATTAATTATATGATGGTTTAACTGTGCTGGTTATTCAAAATTTTCTAGCAATTCATCATCTTTATTTTATTGCTTATATTAGAGTTCTTTCTTAATATCCATTTAAATCTGTATTTGTTTATTTGTATATATAACTATTATTTCTGTTCTTTTTTCTTTAAAACTACAACAAAATTAAATAGAATAAAAAATAATGCTGTCCATATATTATAGTTTACCCTATGTTAATCGACTAATTTGGTGTCCTCAACTGCAGATGAATGTATCTTCTTATTTTCAATATTAATTAAATTCAAGACTAGTTCCGTTGATGCCTTTGAATATGGAATGAGGAGGAGGCAATATCTAATATTTAACTTGAAGCCACTGATGTCTTAAATCAGTCTTGACTAAAGATACAATTTTTCCAGAAAATGTTAAGCAACAGGAAAAAAACGTTCAAGAAAAATTACAATTTATGCTACAAACTAATACCTATCATAGCTAGAAATTCATTTTTGATACCTTATAAAATGTATCATTTTGTTACTGGGGTCATTTAAATTAAGCAAGATCCAACCTGAATTTGCAATTCAATTCAAAAAAATGATTCAATTTCAATTTCCTCATCCAATTATCAAATTAATTCAGTTCGGAGACTTGATTTAAGAAAAGTATGCATTCATATGCACAAAAATGCATGGAATGTTGATGGAATGATTTGATTGAGTACTCTTTGAAACTTCCCTGAAACCTACAGAGGCTGAGCTCTAAGCAACATAGCATCTTTTCATTTTTATTTATTCAGGTATGTAAAAATTAACCCTGAAAGAGAAGAAACCACATCAGTCTAGAAAATAATATTTTGTATGCTAGAGGTGCTCCCTGTTGTAGCAAAGAAATATAACACTTTCCTGGAAACAGAGGAAAAGAACATAAGGAGCAATTTCTCTTTTTCTATCAAGCCATAGTTAAAGCATTTGATTCTAGAGGCAATGAGAAATAGTGATAATCATAATGCTGTTTTTAAAACCATTT